GTCTCTATCCAATAAAGGCATGAAAGGGCCCAAAAAAAAAAGTGGGCCACAAAAGTATTATTACCTTACATATTACTCTCTGCCAACAATAAATAGCCAACTAAGAGTTAGATTACTTTTCTATTCCCCACAAATTTGGTCATTTTTTCCCCTTCTCACTAAAATTCAGACTTACAATGATTAAAATCCAGTTTTGTTTGATAAAGTCAAAGTAATGGAAAACATCCAGCTGCTGAATGTAAGCTTTCCATCTTTCAGACTACTTAGTTTTAACCAATCCAAGAGAAATCCAATCAAGTTGCAGTAGAGAACCATGAAGAACTGTGACATTATTGGGTGCCAGCTGGCAAAACTCAAGGACCTGGGACTGGACTTGGGAGATGAGTGCTAGGACTTGAGACGTACTTGTGACCCCCCCTTTGCTTACAATAGATCCTCTTAAATATTTTTAAATTGAGGTAGGTTATCACAATTAACAGAAAAAAAAATACAGTTTTCAGAGTGACAGCTCCAGGCTCTAGACAGCAGGGTTAAAGGTTCAGCCTGGTCAGTTTGTCACTATGTTGAATTCAGATAATCACAAACCAGGAACATTTGCAGAAATATTTTAATAGAAAAATAGAAAAGGCACAATAGCAGCAGTAAAAAAAGATTCTTGATATAACTATGTATCTATACTTAAACAAGTTAAACTGCTGAAATTGTTTTTTTGGCATGGACATTGTCTAACACCAACATTACAGCAGAACCCTCTCTACAGGGTCGTTCTGATCATTTAACCTTGCCTGTGTCTGAACAGCTGTGTACAGGCCAAAGGAAATGAATGCATTTGTCTAGTCTATTAGGAAGTCTTCTGTCCAATCACACTGATTCTTTTTGCAGTTCAATTCAAAACATCCTGAAATAAAGCCAACATCTACAGGGTGCTATGTGCTGTGTGCTCACTCTGCATCCATACATCTCTATTCCAAACAGGTCTGAAGGTTTGTTTATTAACTCCATCTTTACATCCAAAGCCTCTGCTTTCATCTGTAAAAACCACCTAAGCACAGACACAGTCTTTTCCACAGTCCTTGTAATGCAGATCCTTCGTTCCCATCAGGTAACAACATGCTGATATTCACTGTATTTTGAACTATTTGGTGTCTGCCGGCCTTCCCGTCTGCTCCAATGAGGTCACTGAATTAAACGGTAGAAGACCCAGCAGGCAAACACAACCCAGTGGCTCGCCCAGTTCAGTTCAGACCACCTCTGGATGGTGTGGATGGCAGCATAACCCTGCAAACAGGAGCAATAAACAAGCATGTGGTTAGAAATTGAAACCCTGTTTCATTCACTATGTTTTTGTGGAGCAGACGACCATGTAAAGAAATCTGTGACGAGCCAACGCTGGCTAGTCGCATTAAGTAGAAAGACAAAAAGAGGTTGGAAGTTGCATTCAGAGCAGTCTGAATTCTGAGCTTTTTGGTCACTGGGATTAGTTTAACATAAGTTTACCTATTTTCTTTTTGGCCTCATTTAAAGCTGCAGTAGGTAACTTTTATAAAAATAACCTTTTGTCATATTTGCTGAAACTTTCACTATATCAATGAACAGCTAGAAGGGGTGGAGACAGATTCTGTGAAAAAATCAAGGTTCCTCTGGTTCCTGCTAGCGCTCTAATGGGATTTGTAAGAATCCACCGGGCCTGAATGAAAACAACCAATAAGAGCCAAGAAAAATAGTTGGTTGTTGAGTCTCATTCCCAGGTCGTCAAATACCAACAATGGGAATCAGATTCAACAATCAACCATCTTCAAGCCACCAACCCAAGTGTCTTTCTTTTTCTAGGCTCTGATTGGTGGTTTTTGTTCAGTAAAAACAGTGTCCTGCACTTTGTCTTGCTGACATTTATGTTGCATGTAAATAATCATTTTTCCCTGGACTCGACCCTCAGGGTATTCTTACCTCTTCTACTTCCTGTTCATCATCTCCAGGGTCAAACATGGAGCCCAGGTAGGTGAGGTGGAAGATGGCCAGGAAGCTGAAAACCACATTCAGCAACATTACCCAATACTCCTGCAGGCCAAAGGAAAAAGACTGTGAAACATCTTCATAGTGTCTCTCAATCTTTTTAACCCTTAAAGTGGAACTTAATACCCCCTGAAAATCGTGCTGACTTCTTCGACTTTGCTGCAGTGATGTAACGGTGTACTCTTGGACCCTATGACATCATTGTTGGGTGTGGTTACAAAGCACATTTCTTACAACAGAAACAGGCCTGATACTTTGTGTTAACTCATCACAGGACAGTTCATCTACAATCAGGTTTTTGAAAAGCATCTAAATTGTAACAAATCATCCAACAGTTAAAAACATCATTCAGACTGGTCTAAATAAGTCCACCAGACACCAGGGGACTCATTTATAAAAATGTCCCTAGATTTATACCTGAACTCTCAAGTTCAATTCAATTCAATTCAATTCAATTCAATTGTATTTGTATATTTGTATAGTGCCAATTCATTAACACAAGTTATTCAGGACACTCAAATAGAGCAGGTCTGCTTGACCAGTTGGGGAAGAGAGAAAGAGAGAAACAGAGAGAGAAACAGAGAGACAGACAGATGTACAGCAACAACAGTAGCCTGTAGTAACTGAAGTCTCAGAGCATTTCTGACTGTGTGCTTACATTCGATTCATATAAGATACGAAACATAGACAGGTTTTAAAAAGCCCATTTTTTAACTTATATAATGCTAGCACAGATTAGAGTGAAGTCAGGAAGAGCCGTACTAAAAGACACATGACAGAGTGAATTAACAGTCGTTATGAGTCTGTGTTAAATTCAGTGAGCAATCAGTCTTCTGCCACTAAGTGTAGCTAACCAAAGGAGGCTGAGTGAGTTAAGGAGATAAAATGTAATGTTTGTACAGAATAGAGTGTATCTTTATGGATTATATTGATGCTGAATTGACAAGAAGACAGTTGAAATATCACCCAACTTATCTTCTGTTTCTAGAGTGTTTTAATGGACACGTAAGGAATTGTTAAAATATCATATTTTTTAAAGGGAGTTTGGTGTAATAATAGGTCCACCTCATGATAAGGTTGTCTGACTGCTGTTAGTTATCGATTTGATTAATGGTTTAATGTGTGTATTGATTAATGTGTGTATTGATTACCACAGTTGCTGTTGATAGCTTAATGTATGTCTGCATGTTTTGATTATGTCAGACAGCAGAGTAGAGCTGAAGCCATACCTTCTTGTGCTGATGGCTGCAGTCAGAGGTGCATGGCCTGGACAGGATACAGGCACTGAAAATGGATGCAAGCCTCTTTCTCAGGACTGAGGATAAGAACAAAAACATCAACAACTTTGACCATGACGGTGTGAGAAACAAACTGGCAAGCGTATATTAACACAGTTAGTCTGACAGTATTTACAAGATAAAAGTATAAAGCAAGATTTAAAAAAAGGTGACAGCATTTGCCATCAGAGCCCACAAACTGTGGAACACCCTTTCAGAGGAGACCAGGATGGATAATTCTAATCATTTTAAGTCTCTTCTTAAAATGCACTTTTATAGTCTTGCCTTACTGTGACCTTTTTTTTTCTAACCTTTACTCAATGTGGTTTTATTGTTTTTATTATCTATGTATTGTTACTGATGCTGCTATAGTTCTTAGTGTTTTGTTGTTTGTGTTGTTTTTCCCTGTAAAAGCATTTTTACACCTGTTTTTGAAAGATTTAAAAATAAATAAAGTTTATTAGGGACCGAGCACAGTGAAACACTGTGAGGTCCCTATTGTTCCTGTAGGAATATTAGGGACCGAGCACAGTGAACACGTGTTGAGGTCCCTATTGTTCCTGTGAGAATTATTAGGGACGAGCACAGTGACAACTGTGAGGTCCCTATTGTTTTGCTTCGTTTCTATATTATTCTTATAGCGACTTTGGCGGCATTTTTGACCCCCTGAACGTATACTTTCGCGTGAATTTTATTTGGCATAATTTGTCCGGCCTGGATAAAAAATTCGTTACTTCTATGCGTCACATTCAGGTCGGCCACTAGGAAGGCCACTAGGCGGCGCTAATTGTAGGCAAATCCTCGGGATGCTAATAACTCCGCCATCGTTTAGTCCCACATTCAAAAACTTCAGTATCCACGCGTTCGGTGAATGGAGCTAATCTCCTACTATGAGGCACGCCCCACCCCCTTCCGCTACGATTGTTTTTCGCAGAGCGGCAAAATGTCCAGAAAATGACGTTTTCGTGTTCCCATCCACTGCGGTTTTGTCCGATTTTTTTTCACACGAGAAATTTCATAGTAGAATCTTGAGATGTCCTAACAAAAAAAGTAATTTAAAGTATTTTGATATTTCGAAAAATAAAGAAAAGTCTATAAACTTAAACACTTCCCTGTTGATTTTTCGTCAAAAAAGGGA